TAGCCTCGAATATGCCTTCTATTGCTTTTCCTATTCTGATGTGTGATTATTGGCATTACTTTACTGTTAGGAATAAGATTAAGAAAACAATGATTTCATACCCAACTCATTGCCAACAATATGAGAGAACAAACAGCCGGCACAACAAAACTCCAAACACCTGTTGTCTTAGATCTTAAAAGTCCCGCAAAAAATAAAGATCCGGTTAAATGTAGGACAGATCGCCATTCGTAAGGCATATCAGACATGAGAATAGCCGTCACCCATAGGGTTAATATTGCAGAATAAAAGTCACAAAACTGCAAAACTTCGTAATTGAAAATACAATACTTCATCTTTTCGTTATCGCACATGTGGTAAAACTATTGGTCAAATAAAACCAAATTGGTCAATTTTATTTTATACATAATAATAAATATTTGTAAAATTCTTACACTTGAGCAGAACATTGTCAAGAAGTAGATGAAGGCTTCGCCTAAATATTTACATTTGAGGGCTAAATAGACGGCTGGAAGTAAGAAGAAGTTGCTAACTATCAAAAGGAGACTTTGGAGAAAAATGGCATAGTTTGACAACAGGTCGTTATCACTATTGCAGCCTAAATATAGTTAAAACAAATCAATAAGTTTTAAACACAATTTTTAAATCATACAAAAAACACTTACAATCGTCGGATGAATTTGAATTAATAAACATTTTTACAAAGTTTGTTTAACAGATGAAATGAAACACTGGTGGTATAGGAATCAAATTATTAAAAACACCAAATAATAATAATAAATATTTAATTAGTCGAAGCGTTGCATAACTTTTACGACAAATCATTAATATATTTTTGGTTAATATTAACGTTTGTCTTAAATCATCGCAAATTTAATAAGTATTGAGTTTATAAATATATTGCAAACCATTTTAGAAATTTAGAACTAAATAATAGCCAATGCTTTCACTGCTGTTGTTATATAACACAATATTATGATTTGTATTGCATTTATCAAAATTAGTGCAATAGTGAGATATTAAGTTATAACATATCCAAGGAGTTACTGATATAAACACTTAATTAACTTTTATTATACGAACCAAGTTTAATAACTTTATCAAAATTTCATTTTTAAAACCACTATTCCTTTTGTTATGAATAAATATGGTTTTATTTGATTAATAAATTAAATTTACTTTTGTATTTTCTTTTGAAAAAGCGTTTAGTCTAATGATTAGAATAATAAAATAATTTAATCTAATAATTCTCACTTTTATTATATACAAAATACATTATACTTTTTGTTAGTACAGTATTAAGCTTTTGATTGAATTAATATTTAATTTATGCATAAAAAGCAATCGATGATTATTAAAAATTTATTATAATAACAAGTGGTGGCATTTCTAATTAAACAATTATTAATAAATATCATATTATCAGTAAAAGCATTGAAACAATTTTTACGCTAATTTTACAACAATTGTTTTGTTAAATTAGAGAAGTGTTTTGACATTTTTATATTATTAATGTTAAAAAACATTACAAATAAATCGATGAATTCTCTAAATATTACACGAAAAATTTGTCAGAAGACCTAAATATTGAATGGCAAATATTAGAGTAAAAATTCTCATTATTTTCCATATTAATCGATAGGAATATATTAGCCGTTATTATTCACTACAGAATAGCATTTTATATATGACTGCAATTTGCTTTTTGCAGACTGTATGCAGTCGTTTGGAAGTCACGGCAATATTGAATTTCTTCTCATATTTTGAATTCCTGCCACTATTTTATTAATTAATTTTGCAATTAATCAATACATTTAAAAATAAAATTGTCTTCATTTCATTTTTCAAATCTGTTTTTTACGAAATAAATCAATGAATAATAAATTTTAATTTATTGCCATCTAATGATAAACTGGTTTAATATTTAAATTTGAGAACCTAGATAACTTATTCGAGTCTATGATGCAATATACTGAGCATGTCTATTCTATCGCCTATTATTTTAAAAATAAATTTTATATATTCATTTTATATTGAGTGAATATTAAATATCTCAACTAAAACATATATTTAATTTTTATAATATAAAAATTATTACCATTTCTTAATGTAATTAACATTTCAAGAGATATTCCTTTTGATGAATCATTATATTGAGAAGCGGTTTAGTTTTGCCACTCGTCTACTCTATTGTTTGTTCACTATATTATGGTTACATTTATTTGTGAAATATAGTTCACGAATTAAACAATCGGTTTACTTATCTATAAAACAATATCTTAATGATATCATAATCAAAGTCCAATATAATAACATGCTCTCTCTCTCTCTCTCTCTCTCTCTCTCTCTCTCAAAGGTAAAAATTAAAATTAGTATATAATGTATATGACTAGTAGTTAATACCAGACTTTTCTTATGAAACAATGCACTAAATTTTACTAAACTTTGGAAAACTTGGTTTCAATTTTCACAAAAGAGATTAAAACTAAATAAATTGATTACAAGTGAATTACAAGATAATATATCGGCAAATGCTTCAAACGGATAAAATAATTGCATTTTCGTGACAATACCTAATTATGTATTAAATATATGATAGCAATTATCAATCAATACACAACACTATTTCATTTTAATGCATACATTTCACTATTCATTACACTGTAATACAACTGATCTTTACGTCACAAATAAATTATTTGAAATAACATCAATAGTGAAACATATATTTACAGAATCATAATAAAAGGGACACTAACTTAATAAATGGTCCATAAATATCAATAAACTTATAATTTTGAGTAATAAATTTGATTAAAATTTGAATTATGGTTATATTCTGATATATTTCATCAATGGCTTTTAGAAATAAACAATATACTTTTTAATACAATATTAAACCCGAAATAGAATCTAATATAGAATCTAATATAGAATCTAAATATAATAGATTTAATACTTATCTTTTGAATGATGGTTATTTCATATACTCTCTGCAATTTCTTTGTCAAATCAAACGTTAATAACGATATATTTCTTGGTTTTCAATGCAAGCAAATATCATAGTTTGAATCATGAATTCGTTTATCTCAATCATAAAATCTCATTTTCATTACAAAAATATCACATATTCTGTAGGAATGACTAAACATATAACTAAATGATTTCATTATATCTCTATTCATTTGTTTGGTTGTCATTCATAGTTAGTGTGAATATTATGTGAGTGAGAGTATACTAAATAAATGTATATTAAATATTTATTATTAATGAGACTTTTCTAACCAAGCCATTAATCTGGTTCCGATTGTAATCGGGGACATTCAATCAATAAATAATTTAAATGCTAAAAAATTAATTTTGTAAAATATTTATTCAATTTATTTGATAGATGACATAACATAAAATTTACTGACTACTTAATAAATTATAATAAACATTATTCCAGTGTTTTTAATGGAAATATTTTGTTGAAAACTTGAATATCAAATAATACGAAATCATGTAATCAATGATTAATCGTATCAATAATACATGCAAAAAATATAGTGAAAATTCATAGATAGAATTGGTTTAAATGTGTGAACGAATGCCATTCAAAGTTATCCTGAAGAATCCACTTTTGATTTATTTCATCACTTTTGCACTCATTTATTACTAAATCACTCGTAGAGTCAGAAGTATTAAAGTCTAGACACAAGTCGGTGTGTAAATGGGTTATTGTAAGGCTTTCGGTATCATATCTCCACATCTGATTGACATTACTTTGTGTGCAGCCTCTCATTAAAACCTGATGATTAGATCCCACGTCTAAACAATATTCATCGTTTTGTATTTGATTTAGTTTTGTATAAACAAATAACTGATTGATCCCTATTTGCCCGTTGCCTGTTTGAGAGCATTTGCTTAATACAATTGTCGCTTCTTCTGATTGTACTGAATCCAAACAAATGTCTTCATTCTTCATATTTCTTATGTCTCCCAAGAAGTAATAATCTTTGGGTAACAGAGACTCGGGATAGACATTATCCAAATACCACTGAAATGACTTTAAATGAAAATTATATTAATAAACACTGATTACATAATACGACAATCACTTTACATGACATTTCCTTTGCTTTCTTAACGCAACTCTTTCTGCAATACTTCCGACGTCTATCTGACGAGCGCTCGGATACAAAGTAAAGAAGAAATGTGTCCAATCGTCTAACCAGACGTGTGCGAGTCGGGCCGTGTTGTGCCAAACTATGTAATTACTACTCTTTCTGCAATACTTCCGACGTCTATCTGACGAGCGCTCGGATACAAAGTAAAGAAGAAATGTGTCCAATCGTCTAACCAGACGTGTGCGAGTCGGGCCGTGTTGTGCCAAACTATGTAATTACTCCCTCCCGGAAGAGTATATGGAGTTTTGTTCCGAAACACGTGTCCCACTCGAGAACAGGTGACGATCTCAATACTCCCGCCGCACATCCAGATCTGCATTTGACATATGTTTTACACATTTATTTCAAATAATGTTGTCAACCAAACTAATACCCGAAGACTGATCTCAATGTTCTCTGCGCCCCAAATGACCATTTTTGAGTCATATTTGCCAATATATTCAAAGAATTGCCGATCAATCGCATAAAGTCCACCCGAAAGTGCAGGCGTTCTGTTATATGAATGTAAATCTTTCTAATAATTTTAATTAAAAACTTTTAATAGTAATACCTAAGTGGTAAAGTGCGATCATTATTTCTCCTAATTAGCTCACTGTCGGGTGCGGTATACCAACGAAACCCTATTTTATTAAATTAATTATATTTATATCAAAAGAATTTTTTTTTAAATTTTAAAATATTCATTTTGAGGTAAATTAGTACCAAATTTCCAATTAAATCCTCCATAAGTCATATCACTGGCCGTTACATAACGAAAGCTATGCTCATCGATGACATCAATTATGGGGCAAACGACACGAGTTCTGTTACATTCATTGTATTTACAAATTATTTATTCAACAAAATACTGGACGCTATGAAACAGACCGATCGCCAGCTATGCGGTCGAGCAAAGGCTCGAGCCATCCCTCATTGCACTCGCAGTGAGAATCCAAGAATATAAGCACTCGTCCGACGGCATGACTCGATCCCAATATTCGCGCTTGAATTAGACCAGATCTGCGGCCCAGACGTATGATTTTGATGGGCACAGACAGCTCTCGTACATAATGTTTGAGATGTTGTTTTAAGTAAACTAAATTCAAGACCAAAAATTGAAAAATTAATGTAATATAAAAATAAAATGCTTGCCTTTAGTGGAGAAATCGTCCACTAAAATAATTTCCCGCAAAAGATTAGACGAGGTTTTGATAACACTATGAAGAGTGCGAAGGAGTGTAGAGTAGGCCTCGTTGTGGAAAACAATGATAACACTGGCGTCTGGCAATTGATTTGGATATTGCTTTGATTGACAACTTTCAAAATCAAACCATAATTGCAATATAAATCTCAAATAATTCTTTGATATAAACTCTAATACCTATCGCTTCGAGAGTCCCTTAATGTCCGGTTTAAAGCAATCCTATCGCTCGCCAATACATTAAACTCATGATATTTGAAGAATTTATTATAAGTCTCTGTATCTTCGGGTACAATACACTTTTGGCCTAACTCTCCCGGCCATTGGCTTGGGTTTGGTTTACCTAATTCTGAGACGTGTTACAAATGTTGTTTTTTAAAAGTGTTTTAATTTAGTTTAATTTGTTAACAATTTAAAATATTAAATTCAAAACTTTATTTTAACAATTTAATAATATTTTAATATAAGTTACATGATTTACCCTTTGGTTCCCAATCAAGCAACTGATCACTTCTATAGTTCCCTAATATAGGACTATTTTGATCACAATATACAAGTTTTGTTAATAATAATAATTTAAATAGTATTTTATAAATTCTAATTAAATCAAAATTTGTTGTCATTTCACTTCTCGGACACAAATGTTTTTTTAGATAAAACTTTATTCTTTATTTTATTTGAAATAAAATTTGTTTGTAAAACATTTGTTATAATATTTATTCAGCATTTTTTGTATTCAAATGTTTATTAGATATTAATTATAAAAATGTGGAATTCATTGTA